GAGCATTGGTTCGCATTTGCGAAAAAAATTCGCAATTGCGAAGAAACCTAGCTTGGGCTTGGATCGCATTGCGAGCCTGACAGGGATCGCATTTGCGAGTTCTGGGTCGCATTTGCGACCTAGGCAGTAGAAGCCCAGGGTTCGCATTTGCGATGATTGTGTCGCATTTGCGAACCAGGTGTCGCAAATGCGACATCTGAGGTATGTGCACAACTATTAATTTCGAGACCTAGACCATTTAGCTCATTTTCTTTCATCTCTTGGGCGATTTTTGGAGCTTTTGGAAGAGGGTTTTCACCTAGCACTTTGAGGTAAGTAATTTCTATACAACATGAGTTTAATACATAGATTATGGATAGATTAACATGTAAAAATTGGTGAAATCAAGGGTTTATATGAAAACCTAGGTTTTGGATAAAAATGAGATTTGACCACAAAAATGGTTATAGAATTTGGTAAAAATTATATATTTGACTCCATAAGGTTATGGGTAACTACTTTCTTCGAAAATTTTTGGAATCCGGGTACGTGGGCCCGGGGGGAGAATTTTAGAAATCTTGCATTTAGGGTTGGATAACCACATTAATAGTTGGAATATGAATTTTTGAGCATATATTGATGTGTTTATACACTATTTGAATAGTTTTGGATTGTTCGGCACCGATTTGGGGGTTTGAGCTCATTCTTGGACTGGAAAGTAGGCCTTGAGACGAGGTAAGTCTCCTTTTTAACCTTGTAAGAGGGAATTAACCCTATAGGTGGAATAATTGAATATGTGCTTCTATTGTGGGGGCTACGTACACACGAGGTGACGAGAGTTTGCGTGTAGCTACTATTATGCTTAAGTTTGGGTAGTCTAGGACCTAAAAGCATGCTATACTTACAATATTTGTAATCTTATTGTCAACTTAAATTGCTTAAATCATATCGAATTGGTAAACGAATTTCTAAAAGGTTAAACTTCATTTTCTTGATCGTTAAAAGAGGATTGACATTTCCTTGGATAAATGCTCCTTGATAAATACTTGATTGACTGTTTGATTGTGTTTTTCTTTTGTGGAACGGGCCGAACTCCTCGGTAGATTAAATATATACATCTATGGTTCGTGCCATTCGACCCTCCCGCAGTTCACAATTTAATATTATGTTGGGTCGGACCGTACGACCTCGTCATGATTGAATTGATTGCTTTGACATTGATAGTAAATGATATTACCTCATTGGCCTGTGATAAGTTGATAAATGATAAAAATAAAGTTGGAAAACTCCTATTAACAAAAGAATTATTTATTTATTTCATGTTATTGAGTTTACAGTCGTTTTATAAAAAACCATGATTAATCATATTATTGGTATATTATTTTTGGCCGTAGTAAGTGTCGGAGTTGACCTCTCGTCACTACTTCTTCGAGATTAGACTGGATACTTATTGGGTATGCGTTGTTTTCGTACTCATACTACACTTGCTGTACATTTTGTTGTACAAGAACCTGTATGTCTAGTGGCCTTGTGGGTGCAGCGGCGTGGTTGACACGGGAACTTAGGTGAGCTGCATCTTATGAGACGATCCGCAGCCAGCAGAGTCTCTTCAGAATATTTGTATTTTCCTTTCGGTCCAAATTTGTATTCCGGACAATTATTGTATCTTATTTTATTTCCTAGTAAATGCTCGTGCACTTGTGACACCAGGTACTAGGATGATTGTGGATATTTAGTATTGAAATTGGAAAACGTTATTATTATTATTCTTTAAAGTTCATCTTTTACTAGTTAAATTGAAGGAAAATTTATGGTTTCAGAAATATTAAAATGAGAATTTAATTAACTATTTGGTGTTGGCTTGCCCGACAGTGGTGTCCGGTGCCATCACGACCTTTAATGGATTTCGAGTCGTGACAACAAGATTCAAGTATAATTTATCTTGATTATGAGAGTGGTTTTACTCCAACTTCTTGTGCTAGTATACTTAGTGTATATTGAACGGACCAAGTAGAGAAAAGACGTTTTTGTACTGAATATATAAAATATTTTCTTAAATTCATTAAATGAGCTTACACTTATAATCTTGATATAGTTATTATGATCAATGTGATTTGTTTATTGTTTTGATTTATCAAAAGGTACAATTTTATTAAGGGTTAGTGTATGCCTAATAGATTGGACAATAATGAATAACATTTGTGAAATGATAATTAGTTGACAGAATCCATAACTCGACCTTGAGTTTGATAATACCCATTTGTGTAAGATTATAAGTTTTCATGTAAAAACCCGATCGTTGGATTTTGTATCCGTCACATAAAATAGTTTAAGCGAAATTATAAAGGATTTAATTAGTTGATTAAATTAAATTATCAGTGATTTAGTTTAATTGACTGGTATTTGTAATCTTAACATGGGGAGTTAAAATAAGTGTTTGTGAATTACGAAATTCATATTGAGGAGTTCAATTGTAGTTTTTTAGTGGAATAGATTGTGATCAATTATAGTAGGATTTAATTCATCCGAATTTCGAATTAATACTATAATTGGTAGCCTCTTATTACTTATGTGGTCCCTGCTATACCTAGTAAAAACCTTGACGGACTTGAGTAGAAAGTTACTTGGGAGAAAAGTTATATGTTTGAGTTGGACTAGGATTCTACTAGGAGAATCCTACATGATTTTTGGCTTGTTTTTTGGTTTTATTTCAGGTCTACAAATAGAAGACCAGTTTCACCTAATAACTCACTCTTAAGAGTAGTATTATTTTGCCCACTCAAATAATTTCGTCCAAGGTTTTACTAGGAGCATAGCAGAAGACTGCAATCCTGGATTCTTGTTTTGTGAAGGACTTGTGCAACAGTTTCGACAGGTTAGTGCTTCGAAACTCTGTAATTAAATTACTATCTAGTTTACATGTATGTGATACTTGTGTTTATGATTGCTTCCGCTGCGACATGTTTTAACAATTATATGGTATTGTTTTTGGTCTCCTAATAGTGGGTGTCTTTACATGGGCGCTCCTTACATTGGAAGAACTTGTGCTATTTGTCCATTCGGGAACAAGGATAATCATTAAATTGGAAATATGGAGAAGATAAAGATCAACTTCTTTCCCTTTTTCTTATTTATTTAGGGGCTCATTCGCTCTCTAAAAAGAATTTCCAAAAGAATGTGAATTTTACTCGTCAATGTGAATGTAAATGTTTCGCCCCCTTCTCTCGTGCTGATTAGAGAGACTAGCCACATGCAAGAAACTTGCACGTGTGGTTCTAGCCGGGGACCCCAATATATTGTACTAATACTAAGAAAAATATCCAATTTTCATTTTTGATCGAATGCCGGTCAGTAAGCCTCGAGGACTTATAGACATGGGCAGATTTATAAGGGTGGAAGGGAGTTCACCCGAACCCCCTTCGTCGGAAAATTACACTATATCTATAAGGCAAAATCCATTTTTGTACTTTTATGAATTATATTTTGAATCCACTTGACAAACATCTATTTCTCCATTGTCGGGTGACCAATAGATTGTGGCAGCTTTTCATAAGTATGAAAAGCTTAAGCTGGGTGATGCCTAGAGAGATTATGGACTTGCTGTCTAGCTGGGACTATTTAGCTACAGGAACCAGCCAGAAGAAGCGGTGGAGTCTCATTCCAGCATGCATTTGGTGGACTATCTGGCTGGAAAGGAACTCTAGATATTTTGAAGACTCGGCAAATCCTGAACAGAAGATTAAAATGAACTGTATATCATTGTTCCACTTTTGGTGTAAAGAAGCTTTAGTACAAGATGTAGATTCCCTAGTTGATCTCATCGAATCCTTGTAAATGACACAAGACTTGTATTTCTCTGCTTGCTTTTGTTCATCTTTCTCTTTTTTTTTAGAAGTCTTGTAACTAGGGACCTTTTCTCTCAGCACTATCTTGGCGCTGAGAATTATATATCAATGAAATCTATTACCAATTCAAAAAAATAAAAATAAAAAATTGAATCCCCTTGACATAGCCTAATAGCATAGCTCAGTAGTTAAGGGGTTCAAAACTTGTATCAGGTCGTCGGTTCAGTTCCTACCGGCTACAATCATGTACATGATGCATCATCCCTTGAAGTAAGTAAAAGGCGCAAAGATGCGGCTCTAGGGTCCCATATAAATGAGGTTAGGTACCCTAAAAAGGAAAAAAGGTTAAGCAAAGATTAAAGAGATCTCTCTTAAGTTTTGGTGGACAACCAACCTATACAAAACGTTGTTTTCGCCAATTCAGATGCATTCCACCCAGCTGTCAGCACTTGTAATGTCATCAAGCCTAACACTCAAACCCGTAATTAAGAAAAAATACTGTATAATAAGTTTCAAGGGCATTTAAGTATCATACACAATGGCCCGCTTTTATCAAATTGAAAAAGTAATGCTTCCTTCAGACTGAATTTGTTTCAAAGATTTGATGTTATAAAATAAACAAGAAATTATTACTCCATTTTAATCACTCTTGCTCTAATTAGTGAAGTGTTGGTCAAGTGAAACGTTTGAAGGACACATAAAATGAGGTTTAAACAAATCTTGGTCGACTCTTGTATGTCAACTCGCCCCACCAAAGCCCTCCAGGAAAAGACTGAAAAACTTGGCATCTGCTGCAACCAACCTTCAATGTTCTCTAACTGGAAGGCTAGACCCTTGGTCCATATCCTTAGCATGTCACAGTAATGCATGTCTTACAGGCATCACAGCAAAATGAAAAAGTGTAAATGATTAGTGCTAAAATATTATGGAAGGATAGCAGATGCCAAGAGAGCAGATAACCAAAATTGAAGTCTCTCCTATCCCCACACCGGAAAAAGGGATATACTAATACAAACGTACGAAAGATGTTCCATATTTTCAGTTAGCTTGAACATAGTGCTGTATCTTTCACGAAACTGATGCAGGCAATAAGAAATCAATCCCTCTTTTCACCTGCACAACCACGAGTTTGCATTGAGTACCTCATTCAGCATTAACTACATTTAAGTCATAATAGAAGATAAAAGAGAAACTTGCAGTCCCATTATCACCATTCACCAGTAACATCCAAACGTTATTGACGGTGGTTTGCCTATTATAGTTGGCAAGTGGTCACAGTCTGTTTTTGGCGAAAACAGAAAAGAAACAACACTTTCAAAGGTCAAAGATTGAATAGATCTCCTTAGTCCTCTCTAAGGATGGATCATCAGAAGCAATTTTAGAAAATATTGAGGTACCAATCATGGTGCTCAAGCAAGCCATAGATTAGAGTCTACTCAGCAGCCATAAGCTCAAACTTTTGCTGACCACGCAAGTAGCTGTAAGCTTCTTATGGTGCATGCCAATCACCAGCCTTGCATCCACTTGGTCCGATAAATAATCAATCTACCAGACACACGATAACATTTCCAATAAAGCAAGTCATGTATATCAGCTAGAATGCTACAAACAAAGATTTCTAATGCCTTGAAAAGTCAGAAAGACGACAAAGCCATAGTCTTTCAAGATAGAAAAATCAGACCTAGACATACAGTTTCAGGAAAACAATTAGTCCCCACTTGCACAACCTTGACATCCACAATGTACGCACTCTATTACAGCAACTTCCCTAAGGTGCTTGGGAACACGACATGCACAAGTAGTTGCAAAGTTGTGATCCCGAGGCTGTATGCAGTGCAAGCAGCAGAGACGCTCATATCCAGGCTGCAAGTCAAAACATAGAAAACAGGAAAGAATTTAATATAACAGACAGATTTCTTAAGTTCTAAAGGAAGTTGCTTCTAATCACCTTCTTCCACTTTGCAATCAGGTTGCGATCTGCATAACCTTGTTCCAAACAGAACTCGTACAGCTCTTTAGATATTTCATTTCTTCCATAGTAAAGGTCAAAAACATATCTGCTCCTCTGATGTGCAACCTTGAATATGGGCCAGAGTGCTTCACACTTTCTTTTACCATCATTAGGGTCATTGCCAGCTTTCAAAACCCAGAAAACAGAAGTTAATAGTCTGGAAATTCCAATCAACAAATTAAGACAAAAAAGATTACCTAATTCCACCTTGGATCAAATTACTAACCTTCTCTCATTTTAGCATCCAGCTCATGTAGGGTAGGCTCAATCAGCTCCCAACCTTCAGGGTATTTTATACGATTTGTCTTGACCCTAGGCATTTTTCAGCTGCAAATCAAAAAAAAAAAATTGGGACTTATTTCATCTGCAAGACAAGGTGAAGAAGTAGTAACAGCCCCCTACCCACTACATGCACATAAATGCAATTTTATAAGTTAAGCTTTTTATAGTGAGTAAGCAGCACCAAGAAGGTGCTACATCTGTACAAAAGTGAGTGTTCAATCATTCCCTGTAAGAGCGCAGGAGAGTCTATGAATTCCACTGCATTAATAGGATCATCTACCTGGGTTTCTATTACTACAAAAGTACATATTCTAAGCAACTGAATGTATCCAGTAAGAATAGAGTTTTATCCTGAAATATCTATGGTTCCTTTGAATCCAGACTGCCCAATAATTACACAAAGGAGTGATATTGCTAAGCTTTCTCTGGCTCTTCTTAACCCTCCATTCCCACCTGCTTGCTGCATCCACGGTTCACCCAAAAAAGTTCCAAATAAATTCAAAAAACATCCACTATATCTGCTTTATTATCAAATCAAGGATGTATTTTATTCACAAAAATAGGTTCTTCATTGATGAAGTCCACTCTTTGCAGTAAAACACAGCTAGTACATAGATGAATTCCTCTTTTGCAAGTTGTCCTGCGTTAGACATTCCTCACGTAAACCTATTTATCCAAAACCAGATACTTTAGGCAGCAGCATTTGCTTTCCAAATCTTTTTCCATGGCGAATAGGCCACTATTCAAGCATACTATCTCAGAAACCATTCATAACATGCCTTAACAGAGAAATTGCCATCCCCTCATTTGGGATCATATTGGTTTCCTTCAGTAGGATCCACTCTAGTTTGAAAATCCGCACACTAACATTTTCCATCTTTCGGTCCTGTAGATTTCTCTAGTATCAAAATCAGCCCGCTAACATTTTCCATCTTTCAGTCCTGTAGATATCTCCGAAACTGCAGGATCCAGCATAATCATTCAGGCAGTTAGCAAAGGTGCGATCTCTGTCAATGACCAGACAATACACATACGGAACAGCTCCCTCAGTCTACAATTATCCAGCCACTTATCCTATCAAAATCTAATCCTTCTACCAAAGCGCACCTTTAGTTTAATTACTTCTGAAGACTTCAAATGTAGATTCCTAATCTATTTTCATACAGCCACCATAACAAGCATGTAGAGCTTTTGTACACCATTGTCCATCCACCACACGTTTGGCTTTAATTACCTCATTCCAAGCTCTTCCTTTTTGCAGAACTACCTTTGAACAGAAGGCTTTTGTTATGAAGCCTTTCCAAGCTCTTCCTTTTTGCAGAACTACCACAGCCATTTGAACTGAAGGCTCTTGTTATGAGGCCTTTGGTTCTTCACTCCTAATCCTCCACTGGTTTTTGCTTTAGCCAGACGTCAGTGTGGAGCATTTGGTCAAACAAACCTTATTTCTTTCACATCCCAAACAGTCCAGTTGTTTCTCAGCTTCGGTAAGAATTTGAACAGGTGCTATATAGGAATATATAGGAATCCTATCTAATATACTATTTATCAATGTCGTCCTTCCTCCAAAAGAAAGATAACTTTTTCCAAGGTGCTAGTTTCAAACCATTTAATAATACCCTGTCACAGTGCTAAGTCCCTGTACTTCAGTGGCAACCCCAGGTAATCTGGCTGGAAATTTTCCACTGTACACCCCAAAATACTTGCCAGCTCATCTACTACATTTCCAGTTCTCACAGAAAACATGCGGCTGTTGGTCAAGTTAATGTGAAGCCCAGAAATAGCTACAAATGCTAGCGGTATTATCTTTAAGTATTCCACTAACATTGCTTCAACACCACACAAAATGAGTGTACCATATGCGCAATACTTCCATTATATTCCTATTCACTTGACAAATCCAAGAACCTTTTATCCACTGATATTTCACAGCCCTTTTTATCATCAAGCCGAGAGCTCCCCTCACCAATAGAAATAGGAAAGGAGACAGAGGAACCCCATGTCCCAAATCCCTTTGGGCAGGAAAGAAACCTGAAGGTGCTCCATCAATGAAGATTGGGAATTTAGCAATAGAAGTACAAATTGATCCATTCAGTCCACTTACAACCAAACCCATCGGATTCAGCATCTTAAAGAACAATTCACATGATTGTATGCTTTTCCCAATCCTATTTACACAGGATTCCTTTTCCCTCTTCTCTGGAATCCAGGAATTTTTTAGCAGTCCGTGCTTCATGAATTATTTATATTCCCTTAATACATGTAATGGGTTCCCAGTTGTCAACCTATCCGTCACTATCTTCATCCTTTCTATAGAAATTTAGCTATGATCTTGTACATATTTTCTAAGACAAATAAGTCTGAAATCTTCCATTCAACTACCTCTGTTCTTTGTCCTAAAGGTGGCATTAAAACTTTTCTCAAATGTGCCCTTTTAATAAATGTAAGTGAAGACTCTTGTCATGTTTTCGGGGTTTTCCAACATTCGCAGGCATCTCTCAAATAATGGAAAGTGGCCTTATCACCAACATTGCCTATTACAACTGCCTCCACTTTCTCTTCCAAATAGGATCTTAAATACAACGATGACAACAACAACAATTATGCGTCAATCCCAAACAAGTTGAGTCAACTAAATGAATCCTTATTCCTTAGTACTGATCATGTTAATCCATTTAAACTTATCTCATGCATCAAAGGCATTTAAATATGTTGACTATTTTTGGAGGAGACTCGGATCATTTTCCCGTTGTGATGGGGTTACATCGGGGATCTAGGCTTAGCCCATTTCTATTTGTCTTGGCGATTGACACACTGACGCGCCACATTCAAGGGGAGGTGTCATGGTGTATGCTATTGGCAGATGATATTATACTGATTGACGAGACGTGAGGCGGTGTTAACGAGAAGTTGGAGGTTTGGAGACAGACCCTTGAGTCTAAAGGTTTAAAGTTGAGCATGACGAAGATAGAATATTTGGAGTGCAAGTTCAGCGACGCAACGGAGGAAGCAGGCATGGACGTGAGGCTTGACTCACACGTCATCCCCAAGAGAGAAAGTTACAACTATCCTGGGTCTGTTAGCAAGGGGAATGGGGAGACTGACGAGGATGTCACACATCGTATCAGAGTGGGGTGGATGAAATGAGGCTAGCTTCCAGCGTCTTGTATGATAAGAATGTGCCACCGAAACTTAAAGGTAGGTTCTACAGAGTGGTGGTTAGATCGACTATGTTGTATGGGGCAGAATGTTGTCCAGTCAAGAACTCACATATCCAGAAGATGAAACATCAGAGATGAGCATGTTGAGATGGATGTGCGGGCATACCAGATTGGATAAAATTAGAAATGAAGATATCCGGTTAAAGGTGAGTGTGGCCCTCGAGAGGACAAGATGCAAGAAGCAAGACTAAGATAGTTCGGACATGAGCAGAAGAGAAGCTGGGATGCCCCAGTAAGGAGGTGCGAGTGGTTAGCTTTGGTGGGTATGAGACGAGGTAGAGAGATGTCAAAGAAGTATTGGGGAGAGGTTATTAGCTAGAACATGGCGCAGCTGCAGCTTACTGAGGACATGACCCTTGATAGGAGGGTGTGGAGGTAGAAGGTTAGTAGGCAGTCGAGCGCATTTATGTTCTGTACCGAGGGTACTAGGGTTAGTATGGTAGTTTTTTGTCTTAGATTGCCAGTATTTCATGTTGTTTTCCTATTATCTTCCGCTTTGGTCTCTTAATATCTTGTTGTTGCTACCGCTTCTTTCAATCTATTTTTCTAACTTTGAGATTTTTGTTACTATCTTTCTTGCCTTATTTGTTGATATTACTTGTTTCTACTGTTTCTTTTATCTTTCTTGAGCCGAGGGTCTATCGGAAACAGCCTCTCTACCTTCCCGGGGTAGGGGTAAGACATGCGTACACACTACCCTCTCCAGAACCCACTTGTGGGATTCCACTGGATTGTTGTTGTTGTTACTTTGGATTAGAGATTAAGAGAAGTGGATACTATGATATATAGGCAGACATAGATAAAGAAGTTTTAAAATGTACACAACCAGGAATTCACTACAAGTTCTCAGATTTTCTGCATTTTCTAAGGTGTCCATTCAGGTTAATCCTACAATAGACAGAAAGACTTACAGGTAATAAATCAAGTGGTCTTTCAAGATCTATCGAACCCCTTTGAGATCCCGAAATGGACGAATTCCTTCACTTACAAGCCCACTTAATCCAAACATTCCCTGGAAGGATTTTCACATCAATCAAACTATAAGTCTATATAAAAATTATAAGCTTGTAAGGACCAAGGCCTGAAGCTATTCCCGTCTAACACCCCCCCCCCCCCCAAAAAAAAAAAAAAGAAACCCCAAAACCCCCTACCCCCTCCCAAAAAAAAACTTAATAAAAGAGTTGTTATTCACATATAGGTTCACTATGACCAAACAAATGTGGTAGTTCCAATATTATATCGTTCATGCTACTGAGTGTTACTGGATTAATTTTTCCCTTAAGTCACACTTGAAAGAAGAATGATCTAGGAGGTTTTGGAAAGAAGTAGCAATAATCACAATGTTATTCTATCAAGATGGCGGTATTGCTCCTTTCCTCTGATGTTTTTATTTACTGGTGTGCTGCAAGTAGAAAAAAAGATGGTAGTTATTCCAATCAAGTACCTACATGTTCTCTTGTCTCTCAAGGGAATAAAGATAGAACTTTCCTCTGCTTGGGAAGTAAAAGAGAATAGTAGATTGGAAAAGAAAATAGTTGTAATATTTCTTATCACATCCTTATGCTTACAGCGGATAAAAATACATTCAAACAATATTTGATGGAGTTAGTCATCATAAAGAAGAATGTAACGAGATAAACAGCATCTCTATCTTTTCAAGCTATGTGTAGTATATCAGTGTGAAAGGAGCTAAACCCTCACCAGATAAAAATCATACCAATCATTAAGCTTTTAGCTTTTTCCTAGAGACTAAGTGGGGCATGGCTTGAAACTCGGCAAATAATTGGCCTTCACTTTTACCCTTCTCCGCCTAAATACTAGGATTTTTTTGTGGCATGGTTCGAACCCGTCATGTGTAGCTTAATCTCAGTAGACCAGTGTTGTTAAAGGCTCATTTAAGGAGCGCTTAAGCCCTGAAGCTCAGAAAAGCTCAAGGAAGGCGCTTTGCCTCGCTTTATTTGCGCTTCAGTGTAAGGCAAGGCACTAAGGTGTGTGCCTCATAGCCCATGAGTTCTCTCTTGAATCAAGCGGCACTAAACATCTACTATAATAAGAAACAAGTGTATTAGTTGCTAAGGGAAACATTATAAATGAATTTGTTAGTGTTCTTGAAATGCATATAAATTTTTATTTATTTCCTTCGTTGCACCTTTTTTAACTAAAGCCCACAATTTAAGTGTACTTTGTGCTTAAAGCCCAAATAGACCAAGAATGCTTTTTAGAGCTTTTCGCCTTTGACAAGGTATTCCTTACTTTCTAAGTAGTAAGTAAATAGCAAAGAGTAACCTTTAATATCACAAACTACTAAAATAATAATAATAATGATAATAATAATAACAATAATAATAATAATAATAATAAATAAATAAATAAATAGTACACAATGTTTAGGGTTTAGTTTACAGAGTTCTTAATTATTAGAAATTACATTCACCAGCTAAATAATTGTTCCTTAAAGCCAAAATAGAAGAGATAAAAGCATGTGCTTTGCTCCAAATACTAGCATTGTCATTTTACTGAAATACTGATAAAATTAACTCAAAATTTAATTTTGTTCCACTTCCATCATCAAAGAAACATGCACAAAAAGTTCTCAAAAAATGAAGGTTCGTTACCTTCGGCTATGGGCTGAAGTGTCTCCGAACGCCGGCTCCTGCTTTTGAAATCAGTAACGAAAGAGAAAAGTGGCAATTATGCAGATCTTCCCTCTAACAAATACCTAATAGTCCAGTTTAGTTTGAGTGTTCAACTAAGTTTTCCCACAAGTTAAAAGAGACTATTTAGGCGTTTGGACATACAAAAATCACTCAGTTCCACTTTATTCGAAACTATTTGCTTTTTGGTCCGTTCCAAAAAGAATGCACCTTTCTAAATTTGTTAACAATTTAGCTTAAACATACAATTCTACCCTTAATGAAAAAGCTTTTATAACCACACAAAAACTATGGGCCCCTTTTTGCTTTGTTTAAGACCACAAATTCCAAAAAATTTTATTTTTTCTTAAATTTCGTGCTCAGTCAAATAGGTTCACATAAATTAAAATGAATGGAGTATAAATTTTGAAAAAAAAATAATATTTGAAATTAAGTAGGCGTTTGGACATAGGAATTGTAAAATTACGAAAAATAGTGAAAAAATTTCAAGTGAAAATGGTATTTAAAATTTAGAGTTGTGTTTGGACATAAATTTCAGTATGGGTATTTTTGAAGTTTTTTGAGCGATTTGAGTGAAAATTTTGAAAAATAGCTTTTTGGAGCTTTTCAAATTTTCGAAAATTTCAATGCATCTTTGAGTGAAAATTGAAAATTTATGAACAAACGCTGATTTCGAAAAAAAAGAATTTTTTTTTGGAAAAAAGGAAAAAAAATTATGTCCAAACGGGCTCTAAGTTGAAAAATAGTATTTGTAATTTGAAATTATATTTGGACATGCATTTCATTCGAAAAAATATTGCGATTTTATGAGTGGAAAAAAATAATTCTGAAAATTTGAAAAAGTGATTTTTTTTTTAAAAAAATTCAAAAATTTATAAAATTTCGTAGACAAACACATTTTTGGAAAAAATTAAAAGATAAGGAAAAAAAATTATGAACAAACGAGGCTATATGTATTTTGCCATCAAAATATAAATTTATGTAGTTACACGAAAGACACTTAACTCTTGTTTTTTTTTTTCTGCTAATATAGACCCTTAAGTCGATCATGGCATATCACGTCTTGTGTTTGTCACGAGCGAGACCCTTTTTAGAGGTACGGAGTCAGAAAATAATGGTAATAAACTATTTTTTATATCGTTAGGAAATTAATGATATGGGTTGAAGATAATTTTTGTTACCTTTATTTTCTGACTCAGTGTGTACAGGTAAAATTGGGGGCAATGTTACCCCCGATTCCTCAATAAGGGAATTTTAGAGGCACAAATTCAAGAAAATAATGGTAATAAACTATTTTTACCATATTATATCGTTGGGAAATTAATGGTATGGATTGAAGATAGTTTTTGTTAACCTTATTTTCTGACTCAGTGTGTACGGGTAAAATTGGAGGCAATGTTACCCCTGATTCCTCAATAAGGGAACAAGAGGGGAGACCAGGCCGATGGAACTACAAGCAAGGCCGATATTGATATAGGTTAAAGTTGAAAGGGTTGGCAGATGTTGTATTACGCTCAAGAACAGGAAGTTAAGGTATGTGAGGCTAACTCTCTATGTTTGGGAATGTTAATGATTCTCCCTACACTAAATTTCTTTTACAACGTTATTAATTGCCTCAGAAATATAGTTAAGCTTAGTTCCTTAAATAGTTGTAGAACTTCTATTCTCTAGCTTTGTAACTCGTTCATGACTTTCATTTCGAACTTTGTGACATCAATGCGTAATCGATATAGACTTGTGTTTGATGCCCATGAGTATTAGTCTAGATTACTCAGCATGTCATAAATAGTTGAAGCTTTAGTTCTCATAATCAGTTAATAAATACCTGTCTTTGTCTACTTCTATTCAGCATTCCAGTATCATGTAACTCAGTATGGTTCAGTATTTCAGTATCATGTATTGCAGTATGATTCTCAGTTCCTGGTTTTAAATCCATGAATGTTGAACCTCTGTACTTGGGCCTGAGGCCACAGTTATGTATACGTATACTTGGTCCCGAGGCCGCAGTTTGTGCACATATATATTAGGCTTGAGGCCGCAGTTTATTTATTCAGATAAACAGGTGGTTCATCATTCAGAAGAGGAAGTATTCATATCCTTACTTCCTTTGTTCAGTCCAGTTATCATATCATTTCAGTTATCAGTTATAATTTCAGTTATCAGTTATCATTTTAGTTATCAGTTATCATTTCAGTTTCAGTTATCAATTATCAATTCTCAATTATTAGCTCAGTATTAGTTCAGCATTTATAGTTCTTTCTTTCAGTTATTTTACATACCAGTGCAATTCAAATATACTAACGTCCCATTTTCCTGGGGTCTGCATCATGCAGGTAATGATTTACAGATTGACGATTCAGAGCGCTAGGATCCTCGTACCAGCTATTTGGTGAGCCCCAGTTCTTTTGGGGCATTACCATTACTTTACAGTCTATCAATATTACAGACAGCTAGCATTTTGAGTACTTCATTAGAGGCTTTATAGACTACAGTAACAGTTAGACAGAGCCGCAAGCTTTTCATGTTAAGCAATGTTGGCTACAATTATGTGTCAGACTTATGTTAGTGTTTTCGCACATTGATTTATATCATTTAGACTTATAGTAAATCAGCATGTATTAGTTTATCTTTCGCATTCAATATGTTATGACGTCACATGTTGATTCAGTCAACCGGTTAGAAACTAAGCGTCCACCAGACTGTATAGAGAACCAGGTTCTCTATGAGTTTCCACTGAAAATACTAACGAACCAAACTGTATAGCGATCTGGTCCAATATCAGTTCCCACAGTGCTAACTACTGAACCAATATGTAAATGAGACACAGGATCAGTTCCTACTGTATAGAGAACCAGATTCTCTATCAGCTCCCACTGTAAGCAACAGACTGTAAAACCAACCAGTATAGGGAATCAAGTTCTCTAATCGTTCCACAGTAGCTCGGCAGTAAGTAAAGAACACAGAGGATTTTTACGTGGAAAAATCCCAACTCAAGGGGACAAAAACCACAACCTACACTTGTAGGCTTTCAACTTCACTAACTTGTAAACACCGATTACAAGCCACTTTGTAATGACTCTATTACAAAGGATTCAACTCAACTAACTTGTGGTACTTTCACCACAAGTCACTTTGTGACTCTCTAGTTACAAAGACTTTAACTAACTTGTGATACTCTCGCCACAAGCCACTTTGTCACTTCCTAGTAACAAAGACTTTAAAATCAACTAACTTGTAACAACACTATTACAAGCCACTTTGTAATAACTCTATTACAAAGACTTTAGCTTATGACTAAACCTAGTCACAACATAAACTGGAGAGTTTACGGATTTTGTGTTTCCTAAAAACAGCTTCTAAGAAAGCAAGATAGGAGTTACAATGAAGAACAAATAACAAAGATTCTACAAACCTAAGGACTTAAGATATCTTCAATATTGGATCCGGTCCTTGAGGTTGCAGCAGCTTTGTTCTTGAGAGAGGTTGTTGCTAGCACTTGAGAGAATATTTCGTTTTCTGATTTACAAGTGTTGGAGACGAATCCGTCTTGTGCCTTGCACCAGGTTTATACTACAATGATGATGTCAAATCTTGGTTAGTACATGCCTCTTCCCAATGGGAAGTGACTGCTGCACTGTTGTGTGTACAGTTGCAGGCAGTCACTTTCTGCAGTTGCTTTCCAGCTATGTAGTTGACTCATACTTCTGTCAGGGGAACACCTAGGGATCAGGTCCCTAATCTGGTTCTTGTGAATCTAAAGGCACACTGCCAGATTATCTTGAGTCGGTTAACTTGAATGATTGTACCAGGCATGCTTCAAGTCCTTTATCTGGTTCTCTCATGAAGTAAATTGTTTTACCTTCCTTGATTGTATTTATACATGTGTGACATCACTTACAATGATGTAAGCAAGGTAGGTAAAAAGCTTTCCACAGAAAGTTGACTGCTGCACTGTTCTTGTGCAGTAGAGTATGCAGGCAGCAACTTTCCTGCTGGAGAGTTGACTTCATACAGTCTCCTCGGGAACTGGTAGGGACCTGTTCCCTCAGCTGTTCCTTCCACTCTGAAGAGTTGAGTTATATCCACGCTGGATCCCAACCTGGAACTTTGTGATCTCAAGGTCTTGTAAATGTGCAACAGGTTCCTTATCTGGTTCTGGATGGTAAGTTTGTTAAATCATCAAAACATAAAGTAAAGTACTTATGCCCAAGGTACTTGTAACCTATCAATTTCCCCCTTTTTGATGACGACAAACTTAGAATTGATATTCCCCCTGAGAACCAAATCTCCACATTGTTCCCCCTGCGAATCAGCCATATTCCCCATAAGAACCGAACCTAAGGAGCTGATCATAACTGGTTCCTCAAGACTGTTTGGCAAATCATCAAAACTCAAAGTACCATAACTTATCAATTTCCCCCTTTTTGATGAATGACAAACCCAGAATTATTCCCCCTAAGAATCAGATTCCTTACATGTACTGATCACATTTGGTCCGTACCCAGTTCATTGAGAATGTTTGCCATCATCAAAACATGACATAGTGCAACTTAGATCAATTTCCCCCTTTTTGATGATGACAAACCCGAAATTATTATTCCTCTTGAAAACCAGATTCCTCACATGTTTCCCTGCGGATCAGACCTATGATCAACATATTATCAGCAACGTTCCCCCTGCGAAGCAGAGCCATCTTTCATGCACAACACAGCATATCAATTCGATTCTGTTCCTCCCCCATGTTGACACCTATATAACTTCCCCCTTTTGGCATCATCGAAAAGAATTACAGAAGAGGCACAACCAAAAAGAAGTTCAGCAACATTAACTCATGCCACTTGGGCAACACAGCATAAACAATAACAAGAACAATAAGTGAATGACAGTGCACAAAATAGAGTGGTTGCTCGTAGTGGAGTAATTATAATAAAAGCTCATTAGTTTCAACAATACATAATATGACAATTTAGACAACTGAAGTACCAATGTCATCAAATATAGGGATCAAAAGAAGATAAGAGTTCAAGGGAATTTGGAAGGAGTGAAAGACATGGATCACTGGGCAGGAGGAAAAGTAAGGGGCTTAAGGCCTTGATGAGTTTTTCCATTTGTTCATTCACTCTCATTTGATCA